GGTTCATAACTGAACTCTAATGCTTGACTGGTTTCTACAATTGAAACTTTCTTGATGTACCATTTGGGATTTTATAACAATTCTGTAGTGTACTTGACCGAAAAAAAAAATTTAAAAAAAGTTTTTTTTGTTTCAGGGTGATTTACGAAGAATGTGGTCTGAACCGTTCAAATCGTTAGCTGTTACAAAGCATCTACAAGATGTGTGATAGAGATTCTCGACTGTTATCTACTGTTAATTAAATTTTTAATTAGGATATAAAAAGTGTTATATTAGTCAGCAAACGACAAACTGTGAACAATGTGGATTTTTATTTATTATGAAATAATATAAAACATCTGTTGTCAATTCAAAATCATAACTTTAAGGTTTAAACTAGGTTTGAGTTAACAAAGTACAAGTATGAAATCTGTTTTTTACTCATTATACATTTTGCTTCATTTATTATGGGTTACTAATTGATTTAACCTTTGTTCCTCTCCTCGAGTACTTACAAGAATGTTCTATCAGTTTGGATTTCATTTATTTATTTATCAAACGGGTAAACCAAAAGCTGATTCCTTATACCAAGAGCCAACCTCTAATACAATGAAATATTTGTTTTATGAGGGCCTAAAAGAATATAACAAACCTCCAGAACCTTCAAAAGATTTTAGTAGTGTTTCTCAATTCAAAAGAGTAAACTCATCAATTTCATAAAATCTCAAGTAAATGTTTCTACATCTTTTTTACTTAACCTTATTGCGATAATATTGTTATTTTTTAGTTTGTGTTATAGCTTTTCTTATATTATATTCTAATCTGATGTAATAACTCATCAGGATGTTTCTATTTGAAATGAAAAAAAAAACTAAATTCCTGCCGAAAAACAACTATTTTCCCAGCTAATACCGCGCTGTACATTGAATGATATCCGACAGAGATTAATTTTAGATTGAACCCTTTACAAATATGTACATTTCAATGATTATATGAAAGTATAAGGTCTGTTTAAAAAATGAGGTGAATGTTAAAACTTTGCGGGCTATGCAAATTCGATTAGAGACTGTTTTAATTTTTTTATGTTGGTACACGTGTCTCGAGTATATGTTCAAAGTTTCAGCTTTTAAGTATGTTCAGTTTGTTGGCTAGAGGCATGAAAGACAAAGAATTTGCATCAAATTTTGTATTAAAATTGAATGAAGTGCTCAAAAACACCTGTAATGTTGACAGTGGCATACGGTGATTGTACTCTGAATCAAAAAATGTTTACAAGTGGTATAAGCTTTTCACAGATGGTCGAGATGTGGATGACGACGCTCATTTAGAGAAGTTGCCGAGGATTTCAGCATATCGGTTGGCTCATGCCATGCAATTTTTTCGGAAATTTTGGATATGAAGCGTGTGGCAGCGAAGTTCTTTCCAAATCTGCTATTGAATTACTTTAACGGCGATTCAGATTTGCTTGCTTACATAACTGGTGACGAATCATAGGTATATGGTTACGACATCGAAAGCAAAGTCCAATCGCCAAGTTTGATCAATTGTCAAGTTTTCGCTGTTTCCTTCAGTTACCGTGGCGTAGTGCATACGGACTTCTCAGGATACTTCATGTCGCTGCTTGCATTTCATAGATTGAAAAAGTTTATACAGTGTGGTCCACTGAGTCTGCAACAAATGGGAAACTTTTTTTATTATCGATTTCTCAGAAAATTTTATTCTTGACAAAAGTTGGTGCATAGTCCAAAACTATACCAAGTGTACCTGAAATGGCTTTATGATAAACAGCATACAGAATAGTAAAGTACCCTTATTTCAAAAAATATAGAAATATGTTGAAGAGAAAAGTTGCTTAGAATTAAAAGTTATATTCAGATACGAAGACATGGCCTGAAAATTTTGAATTACCCCCGTATGATACATATTTTTACTATTTTAATTTAATATGTATTTGAAGTAGCCACAATCAAATCAGTTTGGAGTATTTTTTATCAAATTGAAGTGTATTTGTAAAATTTACTCGGATTTGTATTTTTTTAGGTGACCTAGTCTACAGAGATTGCCCCTTCAATACGAGTTCATTGCAGAAATATTCCCGCTGTGTTACGATCTACATTAAACGAATTTTATGGGTGAACAATTCATCGAAAGAGAAGGTGGGGTGGGCATACAGCTTTGATATTTTTTATTGTTAGCACCTGTTAAGTTGTTAAGTTACCTACTGTATTTTTCTGTAGTATCGCTTATAGGTTCTTTTTTGTTCATGGCTATCCGCGATAGATTTTGACAGTTTATTCATATGAACATTATACTTAGTAAAGAACTTGCCTCGTTAAAAAGAGTATTTCTTTTATTCTAGAGTTTTGTTAAATATCGTTGCAACAAACATGAAGTTGGCGGTCACCTAAAAAAAATACAAATCCAAGTAAATTTTACAAATACACTTTAATTTGATAAAAAATACTCCAAACTGATTTGATTGTGGCTACTTCAGATACATATTAAATCAAAATAGTAAAAATATGTATCATACAGGGGTAGTTCAAAATTTTCCAAAAGAAAAAAATTTCGAATAGCAGGCCATGACTTTGTATCTGAACATGACTTATAATTCCAAGCAACCTTTCTCTTCTACATATTTCTATATTTTTTGAAATAAGGGTACTTTACTCTTGAACGAATTTTATATTTTTTGGCCTATCCTGAATGGTGTTTGTCATAAAGCCATTTCAGGTACACTTGGTATAGTTTTGGAACATGCACCAACTTTTGTCATGAATAAAATTTTCTGAGAAATCGATAATAAAAAAGTTTCGCATTTGTTGCAATATATGGGTTGCACACTTTGTGGACCACACTGTATATATTTGTTGTGAAGGTTGATTCAATAAAAACCGCTAATAAAACAGAAAAGTACAAATGAAATTTATTTGTGTATATATCATATATTCAATCTTTATAACAATAACTGCCTTGCCAGTATATAAAAATTCTCCAATTTATACAAATAGGTACACAAGATTTGGGTGGTGGAACAATCCTAGATCTACTGCTGAAGAAAGAAATAATTTATTCATGGAACTAGATATTTTATGAAATGCCGCAAATTTTGAGAAGTTTATAGGATATCTTGAAATACCTTGAAAGAAAAATTAAATTTAAAAATATTACTCCAATTAAAACAACTGAAACATATCCAAACTTATTAGAATTTACAAGCTTACAAAACCGTATCGGTTTTTTTATTGTTATGTACCCACATCAATACAATGGTTGCTACTCAAAATGGAATAGTACAAGTCAGTTGGTTATTCTGCCAGTCTTGATGTCATTACACAAGTAACCTGCCTATGAAAAAACATTTTTACCAAAAGAGCCAGACTGGTGATCAGAACAGGGTGCATACAAATTTTCAATATTGATACAGTAATTTTGATGTATCTTTTGTATGCATTTTTTGCATTATCATTTATTATATAATACGTTTTGACATTTTTTATCCATCAAAATATTTGTGTGAATTAATCCTGCCATTAAAATAAATATTGCATTGAAATTTTTGGTAAATGCCTTCTCTTCAGCGAAAATCGAATTGGAAACAATTTTGAGGATTTCAAGGATTTCCTTGAAATCCTGTTGCATTGAAACCAATGCAATAGATCTCGACGAGAGTTTGGAAAAAGCTATGTGATCATTTGAAGAACGCTCCGTATATTCTGGCCGTGAAATAGAATGCAACTCTGAAGGTAATCGTCAAAAAATTAGGTGCAATACCTTGAATATCACTTGATGTGTATCCTAAACCAAAACAGAAATCAAACAAAATCTCCCGAGTTATCTTCTAGGATTGTTCAATCTTACTAATAAGAACAAACAATTAACTATCAAGATATTGGTCCCTTCTCGGTCATTTCCACCAACATTTGTGAAGGTCATTCCACACAATTCATTATAATAATTTATTAGACGTCCATTGATAGTCAAGAACATTTACAAGAGTAATAGTACTTTCGATTTCCCTTCATCGGGTGAATTTCTTTTATAAAAGTTAATCAGTCTAATTCAACAAAACTGATTCCTGTTTTTGTAAATGAAGTTGACTATATAATCTCTTCTGGGGTTCAGTTCAACACTTGTAAGACTGAATTGTCATTCTCAGAAGACATTAATAAACTATTCACGTTTGTTTGAATATCAAAAGGTACCAAACTCTTTGGAACGGCTCTTGCAATCAAATGAATTATGTGAAATAACTCTGGTGCTGTCACATAATACTTAATAACTTAAAAATAATATTTACATCAAAGTGTTTACAACTTGAAGTTTGAATTATAGTACTTCAGTAAAGACAATGTAAAGCTACCCAAAAAGACAAAGTACACACTGCGTAACCTAATACTATCTCCAGATGCCAGTTGAAAAGACCATGAATGACCAGTCATTGCACATTTATATTCAAGATAAATACTGTCTTCTTTTGGTCAAAAGCTCTAGTCCCTAAAACATCAATAATGAAAATTAAAAAATTGCATAAAAACGCTTTTGCTGCAAACTAAATAGTAAAGTATTTATTCCCTGTAGATCTCATTTGCACAAATGTAATGTTGAAGGCTGCTGTGAACTTTAACAAAGGACGAAACATGTTCGTGAACATTCGCTCTTTGACAGTTTTCAACATACTACGGGTTATTTATCATTTACTCAATAAATATGCCTTTAAGGTTACGTACAGCGCCATCTGCTTGCGAGTAGATCAAACAATAATGTCAATATATCAAGGAGGTTACATACAGCGCCATCTGCCCGCGAATAGATCAAGCAATAATGTCGACAATTTTGTTAACTACAGATCCTGATATGAAATGAAAAGGAGAGTTACAAACAAACATACATACATACATACAGGTCAAGCTAATATAAAGCGTGTAAAAAAATGAAAACCGGATTTTATTTTCCTGCCAATGTGGCCGTTTTTCCGCAAGTTCTATCTTCAGCTTGTCAATTAATGACCGAAAAACAGTCGCCATCACTTTCCCAGCCAGAAAAACGGTTTTTTTAAGGACAAAACCCAAGCACTGTGCAAAAGTAGTGATTCACATTGAATTTGAATCTCTGGAGATTAAATCCATTTGGAAAAACGTTCTCAGGAAGTTTATTCCACTTTTATTTTTTGGAGCTGGTTCATTTTCTGCAGTCCAATGTTTAGAATGTATTTTTTGTTACGGTAGTATAACGGTGTATCCATGTTTCATCTACAGTAATTAATTGACGCCAAAACTCGGATTTATTGCGCCTTAACTGCGCCAACAGAGAGTTGGAAATGTTTTTTGAAACGTTTTTGGCACTCAACGCTCGAACAGCTTTCTCATGCCTAAATGTTGATTCGAAGTGACAAACACGTTCTTTTGACACGTTCATAACTTCTGTTCTCTCTCTCACTTTGATTCGGCGGTCGTCTAGCAGCATTTGTTGAACTTTGAGGCGATGTTTTCGTCGGTGGTTGCAGTTTTTGAACGTCCCGAATGTTCGTCTCCCAAGCCATTAAGCAACGTTTAAATTCAGCTGCCCAAAATGATGGTGCAGATTCCAACTTATCTTCGATTTGTGTAGACGTATTGGCTTTCAAAAACAAATATTTAATGACAGCTCGATACTTCATTTTGTCCATTTTCATAAAAACAACTCAAATCAACTCACTCAAACGACTGTTACATGCCAACTGCGCGTCCAAAATGACTGAAACTTTGGTGAGTAACTGTCAACAGATGCACAACGAAATTAACTAGCTTTTACAAGTGCTGCTATCTTCATGTTGAGGTCGGAAACTTTTTGGAACACCCCATGTATTGATTGAATACTAAAGTCTATCCAAATCCAAGATAGAGTTCAAAAAAACCGAATCGTGGTGTTCACGTGATCGCCCAGTGTCAGATGGAAAGGGCAGCGTTCATTGTTGAATTCGCCTTCTTGGTACGAGTTCGGTACCAGCTCAAGGTTGTAATCAGTTGTTTGCGTGTTTGTGTGGCGTGCGTTATAGTATATTGTTTAAAATTGTTTTCCAAGATGTCCAGTACAGACACTGCAGATGACACTGTGAGCTATCCAGCCAGGAAACGATCCAAAAAAAGACATTTGAGTGTTGAGATGAAAGAAGTGATTTTAAATGTGTTCAAGAAAGAGATGGAAGAAATTGAGACATCGACTGTCGACGANGTCACAGCGGAGAAATGGGAGAAGTGTGTTCGGCATGTGATATCGGAAGTCGAGACAAAGATGTGGAAGCTTGATAACATAATAGAGCACAAATCTAGCCACTTATAATTCAGATTGGTGAGGATGACACTACTGTTGAAGAGACAAATTCATCCAGTTGAATAATTTTCATTAATATTCCTTTTGATTTTACATAAAATAAAAATTATCAATAAAGAAATAATTACGTCTCTTTTCATATTATGCTTGAGTGAGCTGTGAAAAATCCAATGAAAATCTTTTTATAATACACATATTAACTGCATTTTTCCCATTAAACTGCAAAACTTGTGCATTTCACTCGTTATTATAAAAAAGTTTTCCTAAGTATAGCATTTGCGATCAACAAGATGTTGGTTCAGAATACGACCCTGACCAATTCTTGGGATTTTCAATATCACGTGCGTAGGGCATGTCAATGTTTACATCCACTCTATCTTGGATTTGAATTTGCTTTAATCAACTACAAATATGATAAGATACCTTTATTGCACAGTTGCCCCATTTCCATTACTTTGGTCAGTTTTCATCCTCTTTGTTTGTTTTTGATGTTGTTCTTGAAAATCTCTTTCAGTGATATCCAGTCGATTTACCTGAAAAAAAAAGAAGTTTTTCAAGAGAACTATAAAATTTGATAAAAATGTTACACAAAAACTTTTCCTATACATACATTGTAGATGAGATTTTCCTCTGATAAGATCTCCTCTGGTGGATTCCTTATTCTAGCTAAGGTTTCACAGAGTCCAGGGCATTGCCTTCTACTTTTAGCAGTTCCAAGACAACCTTTAATTTAAATTACAGATAGCAATATTTCCACAACTTGCTCAAATAAGAGGGAGAGAGATGTGAATATTATGAATTGAAGGGGTTATATTTTTAGGAGTGATTAATTTTTGGGAAAGAAAGTTTTTGGCTTTCTACTACTCCATCTTGATACAAAAAAATATAGAGTTACTTATTTTCAAATTGATTACTTCCTTCCTTTCTTTGGAAGATTCCCTCATCCTTTTTTTGTATCAAGATGGAGAAGTAGAAAGCCAAAAACTTTCTTTCCCGTGAATATTATGGTTTTTACAAAATTTCATCAACCTTCCACTCACCAATTAAAATCACTAAAGAAGTTTTGAATAAAACTTTGACACCTTCGCAAAGGAAGATATCCCAGATTCTCAACAATGTGTCCCAAGGCAAAGTTCTTGTAAATGCACATAGAAACCATTCTGTACAGTAAAACATAGGCTCGGCATTAACTTTCTTCAGATGTCGGTACACAGGCGGACATACTTTTTTCAGTAACCCTAAAATGGTAAGCTCATAAATACAGGGTGTTTCCTAATGCGATACGAAACTTCAGAGGGTGATTCGTTAGGTCGTTTTAAGGGAAAAAGTTCTCATGAACATATGTCCACAGTTGCTTCGTTTCTGAGATACAGAGCGTTAAGTGTGAAATATCATAAATATTGAAAAGAGAAATGAAAATTCCTATGTTTTTTAGCACTTTTAATTGTAACTCACGTTATTGCAGTTTCGTCATATATGGACATTCTCAAACTAATACAATAAAGTAACAATGATTCATTACATTCGCCAATATATACCATTCAGGAACTTGATTGAGATGAGGTTTTCCAATAGTCCGGGAATTTGCCAGATGATAGGGAATTATTAAATATATGGAAAAGTGGTCGAGCTAAAATAAAGCTAAATGATTTAAGAAAAGTTGGAGGAATTCCATCAGGACAGGGGCCTTTGTTGATATTAAGTTCGGACAGTTTTTCGCTAAACGTTTGGGTAGGAATGATTGGTGACTACCTAATTGGTCCATTTTTTCAACCAGCAAGATTAACAGATGAATTCTACACTAACCTTTTGCGAGATCATTTATCCATTTTGTTAGAAGAGCTGGTACTTGTAAGAGACATGTGGTTTATGCACTACGGGGCTCCAGTTTATTTCAGTGTTCTGGCTCGGCAGCATCTTGACGTCAACTACCCTAATCGCTGAATTGGACCTGCGGGAGCTCAACATTGGCCAGCTGGAAGTCCTGATATGAATTCTCTAGAGTCTACTAGAGTTATATTTATGGGGTCATCTGAAGGCTCTTGTTTATAGAACTTCTGAACTAGATGTGAATGACTTGAGGAATCGACTAATTGACAATTGCAATGTCAAAAGGAGTACTCCAGGTATTTTTGAACGTGTCAGACAATCAATGACAAATCGATTGCAGTCGTGTATTTTATCAGAAGGTGGACATTTTACTCATTTACTTTAAGGTCGAAATTGTTTAAAATTTACTTTTAGTTTTTATTTTGTTATCCATGGATAGTTTTTAGTAGTATTATTTTTTCTTGAAAACGAAGCTTGACATGAAGACAGCACAAGCGACGAAAAAGTTACATTTTCAGTTGCTTAATCTAAAAAAATGTTAAAACTACAAAAAAGTCAGTGGCGTTCTTTTTTTTCTCAATATTGTTGGGTGAGACTCCACTGGACCTAATAATTTCAAACTTCAACGCCCTGTATCTCAGAAACGAAACAAATCCAGACATACTTCATCAGTTCGGACTTCCATTGTCTAATATAATATAAATTGATTTGAAATCCCTGAAAAAAATAGAAAAATTAACCGAAAATAACAATTTTATTAAAAAAAACTGAAATTACAAGGAAATAACATACAAGCTACAACCAGAAAATAAAAAATAAAAAATTGAAATATTAATGAAAGCTGAAAATCCAGACATATGTTCATATGAACTTCTTTCTTAAAACGACCCAACGAATCGCCCTCTGAAGTTTCGTACCGTAGTTAGGAAACACCCTGTATAAATGTTTCTACTAAATGATTTCAATTCATTCAATTTCTTCTCCTGGCAATTTACTTCTCAATATCAAGACGAAGATGCTAGTGGCCATACTTAGAGTTTCTTGAATATTGCGATGTGATTCAAAATTTTCTTTACCTTGTAATATTAGTCCGTCCCGCTGAACAACTTCCATTGTGGGAGAGTAGTAGTTTTCAAGGTACTTATTAGAAATGGAAACTAGGCACCAAAATGCCTGTATAGCTGGCATATGCATCAGGAGGAAAGCTGCCACGGGTGCCTGGGCCTGGCAATATCCAATGTCCGGAAAATGAACTGTGTATGCTTTCAGTACATTGAACAGTTCTTGTTGTCTGAAATAATGATCTCGAGTTATGAACGAGAACCTATTATAATTAAAAATATTAACAAATCTGAACCCAGAATGGGCATACTCTTATATCCACCAATATGGTGCGGTTAAGAAATTATATACACAAAGACATTGTTGTAAATTATCCCCTGAAACAAAATAACACCGGCTGCCGCTGGTCTTCCTCAATCGACTGTGACTTGGCAAAGGTCACGCTCTACTCGACTTGCGCTTCTCGATCGACCTAGATGTCGCCTTGCTTCAAGAGGCTTCCAGAGACTTCTCTATCGCCTTCCAGATACTTCCAACAAGCAGATGAGGCAAGTCTAGTGGAAAGTACGGTACGAAGTGATCTAATAAGGTGACAGAGATTTGAGTATCAGTCTGAAGTTTCATTCAAAGTGTTTGTATTGTAATGTCAGTGTGGCAGTGAAATAAAGTTGAGTTTAATTGTACAGTTTAGTAGTAGAATTAGTATTTATTTATTTAGGTTACCCTAATTTACAAACGTTCAATAAAAACATAATACATAATGTGAGAGTAATAAAGGATATATCCTTGTACGTGGGGTTATAAGAGAAACAATAACCTTTTTATATAGATATCATAGAGTATATATACATATACACAGACATATATACAGACGAATACACATATACACACATATATACACACATATACAGACACAAAAATATACATATGTACACATATATGTACGCATATATATACACATATATAATATACAATAATAATTTGCAGGTAAACAGTAAAACAATACTATATTAACAATTTGAAATTGAAAAAATATGGAACTAGGTATAGTAATTATTTTTCCTATCTATCCATTTGTGTATTTCCATTCTTGGCATAGAATGAAGCCATTTTTTTTTAGAATTTTCTTGAATACACCGAGTGAATGGATTTGAGTAAGGTTTGTTGGTATTTTTAAGAATATGATGGGTCCTAGGTACGTGAAGTGTCTCTGCGATAATGTTTTTTCAACTTTTGGTAAAGCAGTTGTTTTCGCTTTATTTATCGTGTTGTATACTTGATCTATTCGCTTAAAATCAGTTTTATTTTTATAAAAATGCAATATTATACTTTGGAAGTATAGTTGCCGTGCATCTAGCGCTTTGCTTTCTTTATATAAAAGTTCTGAAGGGTAATTGAAATTTTTATTGTGGATTATTTTTAAGATCCGCTTTTGGGTAACTTCTAGGTTTTTGAGGAAGTTGTTGGTTACTCCACCCCATGCTAGAATGCCATAACTTATATGTGGTCTAACAAGAGAGTTATACAGAATTTCCATTTCCTTTGGATCAAACACCTGTTTCAAAAACTTGAACATGGGAATCAATGATATTATTTTTTTTTACAATATGTTCAATGTGGTGATTCCATTTCAATTTGCTGTCTATGAGTATGCCAATATATTTTATTTCATCTTTGGATTTTACTTCTATTTCCATATCACCCGTATTAAGTTTCAAAGTTTTGTACATCGGCATGTTTTTGGAATATTGTGCGAAAGGTATAAAAAAAGTCTTATCTGAATTTATCGTGAGAGTTTTACTGACAAACCATTCGATAATATTTGGGAAGTCATTTTCGACGATGGTTTTCAATTCAGCCCATGTGTTCGAATGATAAATAACTACCGTGTCGTCAGCAAAACTCACTATGTCACCAGATATATCAAGATTAAAAAGGTCATTTAGATATATATTAAAAAGGAGCGGACCGAGGACTGTTCCTTGTGGTACCCCGTATTCCATTGTTTTGCTTGAGCTCATTTCCTCTCCAACCATGACTTTATATTGTCTATTTTTCAGGTAGTTTTCAAAGAGTTCATACGCGATTCCACGAAATCCAATTTTTTCTAGACATTTCAAAAGTTTCTCGTGACAGACAGTATCAAATGCCTTAGCTAGATGACGAAAATGCATAGGGAAGGTCTAGTTTTATCTAAATTTTTGTAATAATATACTTTATTGTCATTAAGAATAAATATTGTGGACAAAGCTTGTGAAAAGTAGTTACAAATGTGAGTATAGAAATATAAAATGTGAATATAAAAACACGTATAACAAAATAAAGTTAGACCATATACTATACTTCAACATCGAAATTTTGTCTCAACATGATGATACATGGATTGCGATAAAACTTTTTTTACTTTTTTCTCTGTTTCGGATCTCAGGTGTTATAATCTTTAGGATCAATAATTACATTTGTACTGCTTTCATTTGCCGGAACAATTCAAAGAAATTATTGCTAATTTGTAATATCCAAGGCATAATTGTTTAGTCTCTCTAATGGAGTTTTGTTGTGGATTCTAAATTTACTCGATAACTCAGATGAAAGTTTCTGGGTAATTCCCTCAACAGCCGTAATGATGGAGTGAAACCCCATAAATGCCAGGAATGGCTTGTGTATCTCCCCAAATGAAATTCATATCATAAATACACTTTTACTGGAAAATATTGAAAAATTTTAGGAATTCAATAGTCATACAAAATAAAATACAATTACAAGTAGTTTTCAACTGCACTGCAAAATCTTCTAAAATATTAACACAGTTTTTCTTACCCAGGCTTATCCTCTGAACTGAACATTTCGTGTAACGGAAACTGACGGTGAATGTCCTTTTTTATTTCTTCAATACATTTTGGATCTGCCACGGCTCTAAGGCAATCATCATACTTATTTGGTTGCTTATCCATCAATAATTTTCCACCACAAAGATACAGCCAAGCTTTTGGTCTCATTGACATCGGGATGCCTTAAATAAATAAGATATATTGATATTTTTTATTTTTCTATGTTGGTACACTCGTCTCAAACATATGTTCACAGTTTCAGTTGTTTTGCATGTATAGTTTGTTGTTGAGAGAGAGGTATAATGGAATTAAATGCTCAAAAACACTTTAAATGTTGACAGTGGCATACGGTGATTGTACTCTTGAGTCAGAAAAATGTTTACAAATAGTTCAAGCTTTTTACAGAAGGTCGAGAAGATGTGAATGAAATGTTGAGAATGTAAAAAAATTGGTTATGGAGAGTCGTCAAATCACTATTGGAGAAGTTGCTGAGGACATGGAACGCGTGGCAGCGAAGTTCGTTCCAAAATTGTTGAATTTTGACCAAAAAAACCGTCGCATGCAAGGCCGTAAGCAGAAAACAATTTCGGGGGGGGGGTTTGGTTTGGTGGAACAGTAGAAAAACATGAAATATAAAAATAACGAAAGAAAGAAAATTGTGTTACATGATCATATATATTTATTAGAAAACCATTACAGAAATATTAACGTCTTTTTACAAAATCAAATGTAGTTTTATAGCTTTCTTTGCAGCAAACAAATCAATTACCTCCTCTGTGTCGATGTCAATTCTACGGTGGACTGACATTAACGCCTAACCGTTTAGTCGTTACTGGCTTGTGAAGTTTCTTAAATAAATTTTGAGGCGTTTCAGAGAAGAGAAAGTCTTTTCAGGGGTACATGTGGAAAAAGGTAGTGTCGCCAAGATCTTTGAAAGTTTGTACGCACATTGCCATAAGGTTTCCATTGTGTTTCAGGGAAGTTTTTTTCAATTTTCTCTTTCAAGTACTTGGTTCGTTTCACCAAGGACTTGATAAAATTTCCAACGGATTTCATAATTCCAATAGTATATGTAACTGTAGGTTACTAGTAGACATCTCCTTTATATCGGCAGGTGTAGGCCAAGACTCGCCGAACACACACTCTCTTATTGATAATGACTCCAGACACTCGCATAGGACATGCCTGACAGTTTCATCTTCCTGTTCACACATCCTGCATAGAGGTGTGTCCACTATCCCCATATTATGGAGGTGTTTTCTTAGTTGACAGTGGCCAGTCAGAAATCCTACTAGCGTAGATTTTTCCTGGACGCTTACCAGGGACGCCCAGGGTGATCCTGGCAGGAGGCGGCAATGCAATCACCTCAACTCCTGTTGTACCCTTTAATCCACTTCAGGATAATGTTATTATCTACCGTGGCTATGGCTAAATCTTGTTGGCACTCTAGTACTAGCCCTGAGGTAACACGTCTGTTCAAGGCTAATAGGGCTTGCCTGCTATCAGTGCAGATTGTTATGTTTTTGCCAGAAATTCCTTTCCTGGTTATTTTTTTAATGACTCCAGACACTCGCATAGGACATGCCTGACAGTTTCATCTTCCTGTTCACACATCCTGCATAGAGGTGTGTCCACTATCCCCATATTATGGAGGTGTTTTCTTAGTTGACAGTGGCCAGTCAGAAATCCTACTAGCGTAGATTTTTCCTGGACGCTTACCAGGGACGCCCAGGGTGATCCTGGCAGGAGGCGGCAATGCAATCACCTCAACTCCTGTTGTGGCCTTTAATCCACTTCAGGATAATGTTATTATCTACCGTGGCTATGGCTAAATCTTGGTGGCACTCTAGTACTAGCCCTGAGGTAACACGTCTGTTCAAGGCTAATAGGGCTTGCCTGCTATCAGTGCAGATTGTTATGTTTTTGCCAGAAATTCCTTTCCTGGTTATTTTTTGTGGCGAGTTCTGTTTGAACCATGCTGGAATTCTTCCCATTCTCCACTCATTCCTTAGGCTTAGTGATCTGGAGTACACTCTACATCCTGAGCCTCCTTTGGTTTTTGAGCCGTATGTATATATGAGTATTGCATTTGTAGCATCTAAGTCTGTGCTCTGTTTTATTTGTATTTTGCAGGGTTTATTAAACACAAACCTGGGTTCAATTGCATCACTGGTTGCCTGCAGCAGAGGTTGCACAGTGTGCGCCATAATCTCTGCCTCAATTGACCCTCTCCTACTTCGAGGTTTATACCAGCCGTGTGCAATCGTAACATGGCCATTGACGCAACCTCCTTAACGTACAGGTCAAGAGGCGTCAGACCAGTAATTAATTCCATTGCCGCGGTTGGTGTTATTCTCATGATTCCTGTGATGTTCAAACAAGCCAATTGTTGTATTTGATATAATTTTTGGATGGCCGTTGCTTGTTGAACTTTCGGGGGGAGGGGGTCAATCCCCCTTGATCCTTCCCCTGGCTACGGCCTTGGTCGCATGTGCGTCACTTAGGAATTGTTGATTATCAACGATGATCCAGATTTGCTTAAAACGGTCATAACTGGTGACTAATCATGAGTATATGATTGCAACAATATCTTGAAGTTATACGCCCCTTGTGAGAAGTAATACATAGAAAACATCTGGTTTTGTGAAAAAAAATTCATGGTTTTTGCATCACGATAATGAATCTGATCACTAGTAATTTTTTGCCAAAAACACCATAATCATGCCTCAGCCACCGTATTCACCAGATTTGCCCCCTGCGACTTTTTTCTATTCCCAAGATTGAACAGATTTCGTATACACCAATATATCATAAAAAATGTATATGATAAGTCAAAATAAACATATATGTGAAATGAGTAAAAGTACATATGAGTAAGAAGTAACAACAATTTTTTTATAAGCAAACTATATCAGTTCAGCAAAGAATCATCCTAATTACATAAATGTATTCCAGATTCAGTTAGAATTATATATGTCTGGCAAAAATTATCTCAATTGTTAAAATGATTCATACATTAGTAGTTGATAAATTGGGGTAATTAAGATTGCCACATGCATATTATATATTTTAAATAATGACAGTGGGAAATTTAGATTGGTGTTACTGAAACATCTGTTATTGATCAGAAACCATTTTGTGATGAAATTGGCAGAGCACCTAAGTAAATCAATTGTGAAGGGTTAATTTGTATAAAACTAATTCAAACAAATGAGCTGAATAAATAATTTTTTGAGCTAGGTTTTTTGGCCCAATTCAAATAAAAGTATTAAAGTGCTATTTAGCAGACGATGCAATGTAATGGATTGAAAGTAAATTATAGGAATCAGTTTCAAAATAGTAAGATGTAGATCAAAAAATAATCACAAGATATAACAATATGAACGTATCTAATTTTTGCAGGCAAGTAACACTAACACCCCAAGCTGAAAATATTAAATAGCTAGGTCAAGAATATGGTTTCTGAAGCAGGCAAATGATATATTAAAGATTTGAAGGTTATTCAAAGAGTTAGCTAATTGGAGAGTTCTGGGGATAATGCTTTTGTATGAGTAATTGAACCTATGGAAAGGTTTGCACCTGCCTATAAGAAATATAGTTGTAAACAAATATTTGTTTGAGATGAAATTTGAATTGGAATTTCACAAAGTATCTGGTTCTATTTATAAGCTCATAAAATTTGAAGATAATAATAATTTTCTGTAATTCCTTCTTGAATTTAATTCTCAGCAGATGATATTCAGTAAAACAATGAAAGCCCTCTACATTCAAAAATAGTGTGTACCTTTTCGACACCTCTCCTTGATCTTTCTGTAATTTCTGTCCATATAAAAATTCCATTGCGAAAGCATTTTCAGCCATTTTCGTTCTCGTCTGAGTACCGTTTCTGGAGGAGGTCCTTGTCTTGGTTCTGGAGAATACTGAGTGCCCCCTAAAAATCCATGGCGATCCGGTACAGTAGATATAACACTGCCATCAAGAAGTGTTGATGCTTCAGAGCACACAGATACTGTGTCTGTGATTTCAGAAGTCATTTTATGTGTTCATTGGTTTAGGTGAACAGAAGCATGATGAATTCTGAAAAAATATTCATATAGGAACTTAATTTTTGGATGTAAAATATTTTATTTTCAATACCACACTTCAACATTACTGAAGCTCCAATCCCTATCCGGATGCAGAGGGTATGAAAAAGTGATTTAATTCATAATCATGGTTAATTTTTCCCAATTTTTGATTACTGAATATAATTCACCAAAAAATGTATACTTCAATAACAAATTATGAAATTGAAATTTCAGGCTGAGAACTGACAAGCCTGCCTGCAACCATGCCTGCATCACAGGTGGTGACGAAAAGAATTACAACAAGGTATTTCTGTGCAAAACTAAAAACTTCCACTAATAAAAAGCTAGCTTAGAGTTAGCTAGGAATATGGAGCCTGATAGAAACTGTCAAAATTAAAAATGTTATCACCAAGAAAATTAAAAACTTATCACCTATAAGACATTCTCAGAGAAGGGGTGAGTTACTCTCTTGCATGTTTAATACTAGACAGCTGCAAGTTTTTGTATCTAGAATTAGACTACTATATGAAAACGAAATTTTCATCAAATTGATGGAAATTTTCATCCCATCAATGATAATTCATAAACTGAAATCCAATAATAAAAAACCTACTCTTTTTACTTATGCGTTGAACGTTGCCTTGAATTCACATTTGAGTAAATCATTGAAAACCTCAATTCAGTAAGTACTTGTTTGGCTTAAAAGGGGAAATATCTTTGATTATACTGGAATTTCCCATTTTTGTGAATACTCCAGAAAAACGAGTAGATAAATACTTACCGACTAATACCTCTTGAAGAGAATTAGGCAACTTGTCATAACGCAGAGTGGGCCAATAAACAGGATATTTTGTATATTTGTTTGTGCTAAAAATAGAGATGTTTACCTATAGATGTTTTCAGCTGTATCAATTCATAAAATGTAAATTCTGATATTTCACTGCAGTCACATCTACATGTAGATAAACAATTTTGATTAGATACAACTTTTGAAGCTGTTATCTGACATGAAAGAAATCCAAATTAATTTTTAATAAAAATGTAGGCGAGGCAAACCTTGTTGACAAAAAGTGACATACATCATGACACATTGACACATGACTGATGACTGTTCACTGTCAGTCACTGGTCATACTACGGGTAGTTGGTAATTCCCATGAAAAGTTTTTAGCTATCTCTAGGTGTGATTTTTTTCGAACTAATCTTATTCCTACCTCTCTGTATGCTCGTTTAAAATGCATCGAGCAAAGATGACGAATAATTTTTGATGGAAATGACTTAATCTGGCTGTCAACAAAACACAGCTTCTGTTCAATCAAACAAGTGCGATCATTTCACGCTATTCTCATTCCAGATCTACCATTTCCAATAAAAAATATTCGCCTTTCGTTCTGTCTACTCTACGAAAATATAGTTGTGTTTTGTTGGCACTTAGCTATCTCTACTCTTTGTATTTTATGAATGGACTGACCCGTTACTTATAACACTATTCATGACAATAATTTAACAATTTTCATAAACATTTTATTAATTCTAGATGCGTTTCTCGAACAGAGAGAGTGAATAACTTTAGCGAGTTTGGACCACTCTGGAAGAATTGTGCTAACAAAACAGACCTATATTATTAGATACCACACACTAAAACTTAAATACCTACGTTCAATATCAGACGAAAGGTGCATCACAGACTCAGAAAATGCTGAAATCATTGAAAATTCAAACAATGGGTAGTTTTCTTTGTATTTCAAACCACGCATTATATCAAACGGATTCAAATTCCCCTCGCAACCAGAAATCCCTCTCTTTAACTGTCCCTGCTCATATATCTTTTCAAATACACAATTAATTATGAAGAGTATTTGCATATACAAATGCCCATTGATTATGATAATTAACAGGAATGTAGGCACGTTATCGATCTGTAGTTTCCTGTAAAATATTTTAAATCCCCTTGATAGATAGAATTGGACCTTCTAGCGTGAAATCTATTAATAACACTTTTCCTACACCAGAACAAAATACTGAAACTAGGAATATCTTGCAGCTCTTGAGATTCTGCTTGGCCTTTCACCACTACATGTCTATATTTAAAAAGAAGCCCGAATGGTGACACGAGGGTGATGCAGGGGCCAACATCAGTCAGTTGCATGGGAAAGAAACCGTGAAATTGTACAACAAACTGAAGACATATCCAATACTGAAAATGCTAGTGGACAATGAGGTCTCGTAGTATAATTTTTATAAAAGCTTCAGGACCATCACACCAAGCAGATGTGATCGCAAAAAAGACCTAACTGTTGAAACGGAAGACACTTGATATACGAACGGCTCAAAAACCCAAAAAGAAGTAGGAGCCGGCATATATGGAGGTAGAGCGAAGAGGAGGATCGTACACAGCGTCAGGCAGAACGCAAAGGTGTTTTAGGCAGAAGTTGCCGCTATCGAAGACTGCTTAGGGGAATTGCTCAGACAGAAGGTTGAAAATAAAACCATTGCAATTTTTTTCGATAGCCAGATGGAAATTGAGGCGCTCATCTCCTACCCAGTATTTTACGAATTCCAGAGAGCTGTCTTAGTGCACTCAGGTTCCCACAATAGGGTAACCTTAGTCAGGATACCCGCGGACGCGAAGGACACAAGGGCTATAAGGAACTCGATACTTTAATCCACGAAGGTGCTTCCGAAGCCAGATAGATCCTAAACTTTCTGTATGATGTAAGATGAAGACATCTATTAAATTGAGGATGAAATCCAAATCGCTAAATTGGTGACAAGCTTTCAGAATAAGGCAAATGAAAAAGTTCAAAAAGGAACCATCGCTCGAATTTACAGAAAACCTGCTGAACCACAGCCGCAAGTGGTAGGTCTACTAACAGAAAATTGTCGGCTCATTGAACATATGAGCATTATGGGCGTGGGGAAAGACGCTCCATGCAGGTTCTGCCGGGAGGACGAAGAAACCCCCGCCCCTACACGTACTAAGTGAATGCGGAGCATTAGCACGGCTAAGGCATGGGAGATGCGGGAATGAGAAATCAGAGACCATATGAAGGAACCAATATCAAAACTTCGCAGTCACATCAAAAAGATCAAGCTATATGAACAGCTCTGATAACCAAGGAGCATCACAACATATCTGCAAAGGTCGCAGTGAAACAGGCCGCATGCCAGCTCCTCTCTCAATCGTATCTAACCCTAATGACAAATAAACAGAGGAACCAATTCAGTAAAAATATATGTGCTCTAAATTTAGATATATTTGAACCAAGTGAAATAATTAAAATTTGAAAAGCAGTCATTTTTTATGTAAATTCACGGTTGGCACTAGTTGAAAACTGTCTAATAAAAAAATGGTGGTAGTAAAAATTGAGATATCCTTTCGACGTGCACAATCCCTCTTTGATCAAGAAATCAAAATCCCAAAATGTTTAATATGCAAGTATGCACCTCGTAAAACATCGTTTCGTCGAATCTGACGTTCAAGTGTATGAGTGACATACATCGCCAAAACGTGGATCTCTCCACCCTTTTTTAGTTGTTGAAGTCACTGTTCTCTCTTCAATGGCTAGTCCATATTATGATGTTACTGATGTCAAATGAAACAAATTTCAGTAAAATCACCCTATAGAAGTGTTTACTTCTATACGCTGGTTCTTATTATTCTTATGGTAATATCATAGCGTATAATATCTATTCCTGTCAACATGGTTGTGTTTTTTAATTTGCCTGAAATTTTATTATGACAAAAAAATTGTACAAAAACTAGTATACTATTTGAAAAAATGATAACGAAGAGCTCAAGGTTCAGTTTGAATATTTTCACAGATTCATTTATTTTACATTTTGTACCTCGTAATTCTGTATTGAAATAATTCCTCAGAAGAGAGAATATCTTCCTAGAAAAACGTTACTAAGATGGCTATGCTACCTCCCGACCCTGTTCATCGCTTCAAGGAAGATATGGGATATATCCATTGCCTCTGCTTTTGGACAAGAGGAAATAATGATTATGTTTCCCACATATTGGCAGCAACAGAAAAAGGAATTGTTTATTTTTGGGATCTAGAGGTGAGTTTCAACCCAGGAATTTATGTTGATTTAGAAACTATAACATATAGGTATACTGATATCCAAAAAATCTATCAAAAAGTAATTTCTTCTTCATAGTCATTTATGTCAGGTAGTGGTTCCTCTCATTAGAGTGCCAGTGGAATATCGCAACATTTTGGAATTTGATAATAAATATAATTATTGACTTCACTTTGTAATAGAGTACATAACAAAACCTTTGATCTTTATTCAAAATAACATAGTTTCGAAAAAGTTTCTTTTTTCACAAGTTTCCCACATTTTTTGTAAAAATATAGAGAAGTGGAAGGCTCAAAAGCTTGTTTTCTAAATTCAGTATCTACTAAGGAAATTGGTTATTTGATTCAACATTCTCAATAATTATCATTTTCTTTCATTTCATTAATCATTCCACTTTATTTTTATTAGCATTTTTCATATGTTGTCATCTTAAAGATTTTTGGTATATGTCTCTCTTAATTGAAATAAACTTTGCTACATTTGACGGGAAGCCAGAAGATTGGCCACCATTTATATGCCATTTCCAAAAAGTATCTTCAATGTATTATTACATGCCAAAAGAAGCAATGATAAAATTACACCAGTGCCTTAGAAGAGAAGCGAAGTTAGCCGTTAATGGATTGATAATCAGTCCTGAAAATCTAGAGCAAGTTATAAAAATTCTAGAAATGAGGTTTGGCATTCGTAACAAAATTATTGATATAATTTTACATTAATTGAAAGTCTTCAACACTATTTGTGAAAACAACATGGACACCCTAATTCGGTTCGAAAGTTATTTAAACTCATTAGTAACTATAGTAGTCACTTCAATATAACGCACATCTGTATAAATTACCCAATATGTTGAACTTTGTTGGGAGAAGTTTGAAAAAAAATAATGTCAACCTTATGATTTCTCAAAATAACCTATGCAAATCGCTAACGTAACTTTACCAAAGGCGTATTATTATTCAAAAACTTCAATGAAAAGTTTCCACAATAGCCGCAAAACTGAGAAAGCTTCGATCATACCTTCAAAATCGATGTTGTGTGCTAATTGCAAATCTACTGGACATAAGAGCCATGTTTGTCAAAAGATGGAATCTGATGACATAGAAACTAGGTGGAAAATCGTGAAATGAACAAATTATGTTTCTTATATCTTCAGAATAATCATCAGATGACATGTTGTATCATCTACATAGAGATGAATATACAGTGAGGACGTAAAAAGTCCTCCCCCCCACCCTTAACTTTTGAACGGAACAAGCTATCGAGGTCGGGTAAAATTCAGGTAAAATGGTACTACTTTTTGGCATAAAAATGAGTGTGGTCACGTGGCCTTATGTCAATAGGGCACCATTTTTTTTTTTTTTAATGTAAAAGGTGCGTCGTGGTAATTACACCTAGCTTCAGCGTAAATTGAAATTGCTTCGGTTTTTTCTTCCAAAGGACGGGGACAAGGCATTTGAAAATTATAAAGAAATGCTGAAACCTATGAAAACTGTCAAAAGTATCGATATGATTAACGTCAATATTAGACTGACATTGAAATGAAATGTTATTTGGAGTCTCCAACAAAATAAGTAAGGTATAAAAAAAATCCCAATTTAATATAACAATAATATGCCCACCTGTTTTACCACAAAAAATTGTCTTTTCGACCAGAATCAGTAACGGAGTTAACATTTTGCTGCAATTAATAGTTGAAATAATTTATTTGTTAAATATTTGGAGCAAATTTCAAATGCTTGTCAGTTTGAAACGGCTCGGCCGATTTTCTCAAAAACAGCGGTGTTGGATAGAGACTCGGAAGGCTTTCAAATCCAGGAGCCTCATGACCCCTCTTTACATTTAAAAAAGAAAGTTGGTGGTGTCCTTTTGACACTAGGCCACGTGACCACAATCATTTTTATGCCAAAACGTAGTAAAAGTAGTACCTTTTTACCTGAATTTTACCAGACCTCGATAGCTTGTTCCGTTCAAAAGTTAAGGGGGGGGAGGACTTCTTACGTCCTCACTGTAGAATGAATTATGTTGAACCTGACTAATCAAAGATACGTAGATATTAGAAAATAAATATTCCAAAATAAAATCTCTAAATATTCATCTCTCCCAACTATCTACATACTAGGTTCTGGTAAATGCCTGCCAAAAAACAATTAATTTCCCGGCTAATACCACGCTGAATATTGACAGCAAAGTACCAGGGACTCGATTAATTTAAACGTGAGTCAACTGTGTGTATGAAACCTTCACTTAAGAGAAAGATTGTTATCAATCTCTCCTAGACAGGATGACACTACTTTAGTTATAATGTCAGGCTTTGTTTAACCGAAAAGTCTGTTTTTTAAAATTCCACTAGAGATTAATTTTTTCAGTTTGGATTTTTTATGTTTTGTGTTCAGTTTTCCTTGTGGTCCTAATACAGAACAACATTTTATTGTAACAGAAGTGGTCCGAGATTCGACCCCTGAGGTACTCCAGATAAAGGATTGTAATAAAAAGAATCATATCCGTTATAAAATACAAACTGTTCGCGTTGAAGTAAGTAGGATTTAATGAAAAGTACTCCTGAATTATGGAAACCACATTAGTGGAGTTTTTGTAGAAGGATCATGTGATTAAGTCGATCAAATGCTTTAGCAAAATCAGTATATATCACATCAACTTGACCACGATTATCTAAGACATCACTAACATTTTGGGTCAATACAATAATTATGATGATGTCTATTCCAGGAGATTTTTTCTATTTTTCAACTAAAAATCGTCTTCATGAGCTATATTTCATTTTTATGTGACAAACATATTGTAACTTCATTGCGTTACTGTTAAGTGTTTGTTACAGAATGTTACATAATTTCAAATTTCACGTTACCCCTGTGTCACTCTCGGATCATGAAGCTGGTGTTACACATTTTTCACTAGGATATAAAAGAAGGGAGAATGCTGAGAGGCAGAGGTATGGCAGTCTTTATACAAAACAAACTTTTTTCCAAGTTCCAGCTTAATGCCAATGGAGCTTGGTGTTTTCAATTCTGTTGAACCCCTAAGTGTATTTCATGATATTTCGACTGAGGTTTTCGTACAGTGTTTTCCTATCCAAAAAATCAAAAGTAAATTAAAAAAGCCTTGGATAACCAAAGGAATCAGAACCTCTTCAAGTAATATGAGGGCACTGAGGATACACTACAAAAACACACTTTTGTCTATTTTCCACTATATTTCTTTATTGTTGACCGGTTTCGGCTATTAGTTTTGAAAATGGTATAATAGAACCGTCGTATAA